AATTAAAACAAGAACAAAAAGCCCAGTGATTAAATCAGAAGAAAGTTTTAGCAACATCTAGATAAGGATACTATATTGTCTGCTTAGGCTGCCACTGCAAAGTATCACAACCTGAGTGGCTTCAACAACAGAGATTTATTTTCTCACAGTTCTGGAGGCTGGAAGTCCAAGATCAAGGTGTCTGCAGGGTTGGTTTCTCCTGAGGCCTCTCTCCTAGACTTGCAGATGGAAGCCTTCTCCCTACATCCTCATGTGGCCTTTCGTCTGCATGCATGAGCCCCTGGTGTCTCTTTGTGTATCCAAATCTTTTTCTTTTTCTCTTTTTTTGAGGCAGAGTTTTGCTCTTGATGCCCAGGCTGGAGTGCAAAGGCACAATCTTGGCTCACAGCAACCTCTGCCTCCTGGGTTCAAGCAATTCTCCTGCCTCAGCCTCCTGAGCAGCTGGGATTACAGGCACGCGCCACCACGCCTGGCTAATTTTGTATTTTTAGTAGAAACAGGGTTTCTCCATGTTGGTCAGGCTGGTCTCAAACTCCTGACCTAGGGTGATCTGCCCACCTCGGCCTCCCAAAATGCTGGGATTACAGGTATGAGCCACCTCGCCTGGCCGCCTTCTTTTTTTTTTTTTTTTTTTTTTGAATAAGGACACCAGTCAGATTGGATCAAGGCCATGCTAACAGTCTTTTACCTTAGTTACTTCTTTACAGTCCCAATCTTCAAATACAGTCCCATTCTGAGATACTGGAGGTTAGGGCTTTGGCATATAAATTTGAGGAAGACACAATTCAACCCGCAACAGATAAATACTGAAGCCAAACACAAAACCAAACTGTGAAACTCTTAGAAGAAGGAGTACTTTGTCAACAAAAGAGAACATTTAAAATATTTCTGAAAGTGCTGAGCCATTGTACCCTCTTACAAATTTTTTGAGTATCTGCATTACCACACCTTTGTCAACAGAATTACTTAAAATGACAACAGCAAAAACAAAAACAAAAACCTCAAAGTCCTTGCTAAATTGAAAGGTAAAAAAATTGTTTTAATTTGCATCTTTTTTTGTTTACTGTTGATTTGAACATTTTTTCGTATGCTTATTGGACAGTTGTATTTTCTCTTCCGTGAACATTTCATCTTCACCAATTTTTTATTGTGCTCTTAGTACATTTCTAGTAGTTTTACATGAGCTGGTTATAAATTATACATTGCCTGCTGTGTCTGCTGTTAATAGTTTAGAGATTCACATACATATTCTTAAGATTCATCAGATGCATGTTTGTAGAATTCATCAAAATGAAAATTTTGACTCTTTAACAAAATGAAAATGAAGGAATCTGCGCTGTTTTTGTGCTGATGAACAACTACCAACTGCTTCACCAGTATGGAAGATCAGAATAACTGCAGGCAGGGCGAAAAAATTTCGGGAAGCAAATATTGTACTGAACAAAATACTCTGTAGCTTTAAATATGGAAGACACAAGCATGGCCTAGATTTTGGGAACAGGGTTAAATTGTCCAGGTCTGGGCCCAGCATGTGCTTGTCATAATCCCCTGACCCTCTAAGTGTTCACTGAGTGAGAGAATGAATGGGTACACCAATGGTCTGTTCTTCATGCAGGATATGGGATTAAAAATAAGTCTTGTGGGGCTTTCTTTGTAAATTGGTACTGAGCTTTGAAAGGAGTATTTAGCAGACTGATGAGTGTAATTTGGAGTAGATAGGGGTTTGTAATTGGACAGTATATACTAGTTCAACTTGAGGGAGCTACCACTGAGGAATTAATAAGAAAAAAAACAATCTAGGAAGGACAGGGGACCACCACTGAGGGCAGGCTATACATTTATGTGGAGGAGAAACATCTCCCTCAGGCATTTCATACGATGTGTTATATCTGGTATTTGTTTCACATAGGGAGTATTTATCAGTTATTGATACCAAAGGTGAATATTACAGGACTATATGGATGGGAGATATAGTTCGTCTTTCATCTCATCAACTATTAACAATGCTCCCAAATCCATGTTTATTATGGGCCTTTTCACGGTAATGCTTATTGAGATTTATAACCTGGGTTACCCAATAAAAATTTATTTATAAGTTGCCTTTGAATTCTACCTTCAGTTTAATCCACTTTCCTCTTTATGTGTTCCTGTGTGTAAAAGGGCATGCTTGCTAGGAGTCTTTTCCATGTTGAGAACAAGAGCTTCCACTTGGCAAACTAGCCTTCTCAGTATCAGACTCAGAAGAGCCACGGGTGAGGCTCAAATTATGATCTGCTGACATGCCTTTCCAAGAGATAGTTTCTCAAATTTCTTGGATTACAGAATGTTTTCTATCATATCAAAGAGGCCCTGGTCCAAGGATTTCTTCACTCCCAAATCTCACTATTCTTATGGATAGAAAAAAAAAAAAATTCAAACATGGAAGATCCTAAAATACTGGCTTCACCTGCGGTTTTAGTTTTCCATAGCTATATTCCATTAGCTGCCGTTTAACCATTTCACAAGAGTTGTGAGAGTTTTTCTCTTGGATTCAGATCGCTGTCCACACTGGCCCTTGGGAAACAGTTCCCCGTACAAATGTTCTTTGCTGGGGCTTCCATGTTCCGATCTATGGGAGTAGATTTTGGCCTGCAAAATGCAGTGATTATAAAAGTTCTCTAGGCTGTTATATTGGAAAGACATGGAGCACATATACCTTGAGACGACCCTCCAGTCATGTGTTTTGAGCAAGCTGAGTTTGGATTAAGTTTAGCATAAAGTAGAGGAAAGAGTATGGGTTTTTGATTCAGTTTTGGCTTCAACTAGCATTTCTGCCACGTCCTAGTTCTGTGATTTTGGGCAAATTTTTTAACCTATGCTCAGTTTCCCTTATTGATAAAATGAAGGTGAGTAGCATCTTCTTCACAGGGTTGTGGGATAACTACATGGACACAGGTAAAAGATGTAACAGTGCTTGGCCACAGGTGACAGACAATCACTGTTACTGTCCACACAGGTCCAATACACCCTACCAACACCTCATAGGAAGAATATTTATGGGTTTCCAAGAGTCACCTCCTCTGGAGAGAGGAGTCCCTTGTACTGGATCCCAGGACACAGAACACTCCTTAGGAAAGTGATGAGGTTTCCTTTCATCAGGAACCCACCTCACATAATGACTATTAAATAGGCACTGCTTATCCATCAGATACTCTTTATGACTCTAAGGTGATGGCATGACCTCTAGGAATGATGAATATGTAACTAATTATAAAAATATGGGCTGGGTGTTGTGGTTCATGCCTGTAATCCCAGCACTTTGGGAGGCCGAGGCAGGCAGATCACCTGAGGTCAGGAGTTCAAGACCAGCCTGCCCAACATGGTGAAACCCTGTCTCTACTAAAAATACAAAATTAGCCAGGTGTGGTGGCACGTGCCTGTAATCCCAGCTACTCGGGAGGCTGAGGCAGGAGAGTTGCTTGATCCTGGGAGGCAGAGGTTGCAGTGAGCCGAGATCATGCCATTGTACTCCATCCTGGGCAGTAGAGCGAGACTCCATCCCAAAAAATAAATAAATACATAAAATAAGTGCCATGCTAAGTTACTTGAATAATCAGTGAAAGAATAAATGCTACCGCATAGATCTGAAGCAGATGTGCCCCCCACCCCCACCACCAACCTCCCAGCAAAAAAAAAAGAGCGAGACTCTATCACAAAAAAAAAAAAAAAAAAAAAAAAAAAAATCCACAGGAAAATTCAAAACTCCGCAGCCATCTTCCAGAACCAGCTCTGAGGAAATGTCCTTTAGTGCTTAGCCTGCTAAGCCCTAAAGTAAAACCCACTGAGATTTATAACGTGTTTCCAAACAAAAATTCATAAACTGCCTACTCAGAGACCTACCCTAAGTCCCTCCCCCTTCATACATGGGCGATTCAGAAAGACTAGCCACCAATAGGTGATCAGATATGGCTGGGAACCACAGCTTTTTGCTTATATTTCTTAGAGACTATGTTTTCTAATATGAGGTAAAACAAAAAATTCTGTCAAGTTGCATTTGTGTTTAAGTCTTAATGGTTTCTAGTGGAAGCATGGAACGCAGTTCCTAAAATTTAGGGCTATTTGCACTTCTTTCTCTACCTATTCAAAGTTAAAGAACCATTCCAAACATCTTAGTTTGCAGATGAAAAAATGCAGTCCAGAAAAGTGACCCAGATAAGACCTGAAGCTAGCCAGCAGCAGAGGCAGGACTAAGATTCAATTTCTCTAACTTCTATCCCAGGCTTTGTGATCTCTAAATATAGTTACAATGGAGATCAGATAGTAACACAGGCGGATGGGAGCTCTTGGCAGCACCAGTATGTTAACCACAGAAACAGGAGGTGGCTAGTGCATGTATCTCGTGACCAATCCCTCCCCTAACATCTACTGTATACATAGGGAATAAAAATGGGTAATTTTCTCTTGACATTTTTAGACAGGAAATCATGGCTGCTCTTGATAGAAGCCTAAAGATTCCAATAAACTTTTCTGAAATAGAACAGTGCTTTTAAAAGGGAAAATGGTTTTGTAGGCCACTTGTCCTTTAACACAACTTAAGAAAGGTAAGCATAGTTTGGCTAAAAAGCTTTCCTTAATGTGTTCACTTCAGTCATCCGCTTTTAAAGGATAATGAACTTGTCAGTGTGTTATAAATACAGAATGCAAGGCTGGGTGCAGTGGCCCACGCCTGTAATCCCAGTACTTTGGCAGGCCGGGCGGGTCACCTGAGCTCAGGAGTTCGAGACCAGTCTGGGCAACATGGCAAAACCCTCTCTCTACTAAAAATACAAAAATGAGCTGCACATGTTGGCGCACACCTGCAATCCCGGCTACTCAGGAGGCTGAGGCAGGAGAATCGCTGGAACCCAGGAGGCGGAGGTTGCAGTGGGCTGAGATACTGCCATCGCACTACAGCCTGGGGGTAAGAGCGAGACTCCGTCTCAAAAAAAAAAAAAAAAAGAATAAATACAGAATACATACAGAAATGACACAATTCAGCTTTATTTTTACTTAATTATAACAATTTTTAAAAACTCCATGACTTTGTGCTATTTCTAATATTTAAATAAAAAACATTTCAAATTTTGCACAAATAATTTAGGCTAATACATAACTAGATTTGAATAAAGTCAGATGAAGCAGTAATTCCTCCTCTGTGTTTGAAAAGAATGAGTGTGGTTACAAAGTCACAGGATGAGTCCCTGGGATCTGGGGTAGAAGGGGTGGATCAAGAATGCGTTGGGTTTGTCACTTCCTAGCAGGCTGAGGGTGTGACACAGCAGCTCGGTGGCAGAGAGCGCTGTTCTAGCTTCTGACACCCCAATGCTAACTTTTTGGATGTATTTCCTTCTAGCATGTAGAAAGGGCTTTTCTTGGATGCCAGGAAGTGGGGAGCAGGGATGTGGCATGGTGATGATCTGGGGACAGCCAGGCATACGCTCAGACACTTTGGAAAACTGGGGAGGGTGAACAGGGAGACAGAATCTTCATCTTCTTCCTTTTGTTGACTGGGGAGGAGGGTGCTTGGTGACATTTTCCTGAGTATAAAGAAGGAATACAGGTTTGAAAGGTTTGTAACTGTGTGTGAAAACAGGTACTGAAAACCAATACTGGGGGAAAAAAGGCATTGTAAACACTTCTATTTAAAATGAAGATTTCTGGAACAATTATACTATATAGTGGTATCACAAGTCTTTAGCTGGTAAAATCTAGCACTGAAACAACTGTTAATTTTTAACTTGTGAGGGTTCTTTTTAAAGCACCACTTAAGACCTATATATTAAAAAAATTAAATATAGAAAAATTCTTCTAATAAATGAGTTTGAGAATGCACAGGAAACAACAAAACCCATTTTTAAACTTTTGGTAACTGAAGTGGAGCATTAAATTTAAAACCACTTTGAGGATTCCTACATTGTTCACCTAAGGGAAAACAAATGCAGAGCTATCGAAGAGTTTCTCAGAAAATTCCCACACCTTGGAGGGCTACAGCTTTTCATAAATATGGTCACTGGACTGAAGATTTCTAAATTTTAAATTTGATACCCCCAAAAAGTAACATATAGGATTTATAAGTATTTTATTTTTTTGAGAAATGACAAAAAATTGGAACTAGTTTTAACAATCTCTGAAAATTTTAAATTCTAGACATGTTTATTTTGAAACACACTTCCAAACAAGATAAACAACAATACACATGTCTACTACACTGCAGAAGTAGCTTAAACTTGCCAAGACATCCTCCTTTGTACTTGTTTCCTCAAGAGTTGCTAGGTCATTTTTTGCCCTTGGCCAGCAGCCTCTTGAAAAAACAACAAAGGACCTACTGTCAAAGTCACTCTCAGGTGTTTGCCCTGCCAGCTCATGCCTTCTCGGCACACCGCACCCCCGAAGGAGCACGGAGGCCCGCAGGGCTGGCTGGCCCTGGTTCCAGCCTCACCGCCGGTTGGACCGCTTTTCGTACTTGTCCTGGCTGCTCCGCTTTCGCGGCGGGGAGTAACTGGCAGAACCTCGAGCACGGAAGCTGTGCTTGTAAGGATGGCTTCTGTGTTTCTTCGGGTTTTCTTCTTTCTGGGCCTGGCTCTTCGCTGGTTCCTTATCGCCCTCTTTTTGTTCATGGTCTTGCTCTTTATGAGAGGGCAATGTGTTTTTAATTGTGTTAATTAGAAATCTTTTATTGGTACTGGCAAGAGGACACTTCATCCTGGGGTGGGGAGGAGAAAAGAAAAAGTATCACAAATCAAATGGTTAACTCCAAAGCTGGATCCAGTATCGTGATTAGTACCAAAGAATCCTGCTCCCACAGAATCGAGTTTCTGAATTTGTGAGCTTTCCTTGCATGCCACCTAGTGTAAACTCCGAGTACCGGGGGGAAAAATATCAAGACGATTGGAAATCTTGAGACAGACTGCCCGGAACACTGAACCTTTCTTCCCTCCTGGAACTAAATTTCCTACTGAAGTTCATATGTGCAGGTATTGACCACACTGTGAACTAACAGAATAATTTAATATTTTCTTTTGAACTAGTAAGTGCCCTATTTGACTATAACCTCTTTTGGATTAAATTTATTGCGTCTTGTGTTTTATTACTAGACAGTGAAAACTGTTCCTTTTCCAAGGAAACTAAAAAGTATATTCTGCTGTATCTTAAATACAGAAGCTAAATGATCTACAGAATAAAAAAATTGTGTAAAGAATCCATAAATATGCAATAATCCTTTACTGAAAGAAGTTCTTACACCTCTATTTCAGGATGCCAGGCTATGCTCTGTGGAGGGGCACTTTACTCTCCCGCCCTGGCGAATTTCTGTGCAGGATACATTTAAGTACCTTCATGATTCAAGTTCACCTAGGAGAGGCTGCAACCAATCAAACTGCTAATTAATGTGCTTAGATTTACTTATAAACTATTTCTTTTTCAGGTGTTAATAAATCTTCCATTTTCAAGAAGATGACCCTATACAAATGAGAACTTTCATATTTCTCTTAGCCTTGCGATGTCTGCCATATGATGGGCTAATTTAGGAGTATGCTGATTCCCAAAATCATGTTATTCGGGGTGGCTAGTATTAAACAAAAATGAATGTAGAATAGCCACCTTTCTATAAAACTTTGATTTACAGAGAACCCCAAACAATACTTCAAAATCAAGCCAACAACACTCCACCATAGGAATGGCGTGGACTAGCACTGTATAGGTGAAGTATAGGCAGTCAGGCATCAGCACAGCCTCACTCACAGAGGTCAGACCACCTCAGAAAACCAAAATGGCACTGAATCTGGAAGTAGAAGGAAGAAAAAACAAGAAAATACCTCCTGCTGCAAATAGGTAGCTCTTGAGCCTAGAAGGACAGAGAAAATATCTGAGAAAAACCAATGGTTACTCCCAGTGTGCTGTGCCTGGTTAATGGTCAGGCCAGAAAAGTAACAAAGGAATGAACTAGAACAAACAGAAAACCAAACTTAGAAAAGGACAGTGGAGTGCAATAGAAACAGTGGGAACATTCAGAGGTGGTGCCAGCTCTGGAGTTTAGAAGCCACAATGAATGAGATGAGGTGCAAAGAAGAAAGGCAATAATAAAGAAAAAAGTTCTGCAAGTACTGTGGGGTATAAACTATAGAGCTTCACGGAGCTTCCAGAAAAGGTACACTAGCATTACGCTGCCTTAGCAGTCTCAAGGTAAAGACATTTCTACCTCCTGAGGGCACGCTGGCATTAGGACACTCCTGTGCAGGAAGGCAGCATGTGATGAGAGGCAAACCAAGTTCTCCTGCAGGGTCTGACAGGGTCCTACCGAATGCAGGTGTTGCTCTGGTGAAGACACTTGAGCCACTGCAGTTGCAAACTCAGCAATGATTCAGAACAGTATTAAATACTGGCATGTGCCAAAACAGCGTAACACAGACAGCCTACAGGAAACACTACCCTTCATCACAGAAAGTAAAAAGCTTAGAGGGCTCGTCTTTGGCAATGGTGGTCTGGTGCTTAGTATAGGAGCAAGACCTTTTTCATAGGCAAATGAACTACATATATCTCTTGGATATATAGGGCTAGGAGTAGCTGGTGAAACATGTCCAGCAACAGAAGAATTCTGGGGTCTTTTCACTGAAGTGGGCCATCTCGGTGGTGGTAAACTGGCCAGTTCTTCTCTGCATTAAACAAGGAAAGGTACTTTTCCCAGATGTGATGGTAATCCAGGATCTCGGAACAAAACCTTTGGTAACTACTGGTGAACTCCACTCTATTTTGCTGTTTTCAATGTCAGATCATCTTTAAAACCAAATGCTTCCTCAAGGTGAGCAAAGCCCTGCTACTAACTGCAGCGTTGATGCCAAGAGGCAGAGGGGACTGCACCTATCTTCCAACTGCTAGCATGACCCACCGACTCAACATAGTGACCCAAAGAGTTAGCGAGAGAATGAGATGGTTTTATAGACTAATTCCACAAGAAAACTGGCATTTACATCTCTTTTAACATCAGAGATGCAGTTTTTTAATGTTGGTTATGTGTGGGATTCTATTCTAGGTGAAAAGTCAAGGTGGCTTGAGGAGATCCTGGTTTACTGGGGTGGGGTGGAGGTGGGGTTTGAAAGTCAGACGTCTCCCAGGCAAGCCAGTACATATTTTCGAAGTGATGACAAGTGCTCATTCACACTCTACTAATAAATACGGCAGGGCAATGAAATACAGTAGTTGCAAGCAGATGTGAAGGTACATATAGTAAATAATTTTGTGTAAAGAAATTCCAAAATCTGCATAGAATAGATCCAAGTGTAAGGACAGCAACATCAAAACCAAGGTCTGAGGGAATCAGTGGGGGGAGCTTCTCTGGCCTTTAGGGTAGAAATTAATTTTGCTGAATCTCACAGTCGGTTTTCATTGCTAAGAAATCACACTATATGAGACAGTGGCTGGGCACACATGCTCTGGAATCACACTGTCTTAACAGACTTTGGACATACTATGTAATCTCCCTGCTGCCTCTTAGCTGTTAAGTGGGAATAATAATGGCGACTATCTTAAAGGGTTGCATGCAGATCAAATGAATGAGAACATGTAAAGTACTCAGAACAATGCGTGACACATAAAAGCACTTGGTTAATTTCAGCTTTGGTTCACAGCCTACTATTTAATTAGCTGTGTGATCACAAGCAAGTTACTTAACTACTCTTTGCATTCATTTCCCCCACCTGCAAAATGGGAATAACAGACATATCTACCTTATAAAGTTATTGTGAGGATTTAATGAGATAATGCATATGGCATTTAGCATGGTATCTGGCATACAGCAAACTGCAACAAATGTTACCTACAGGTCCACAATTTCTTATCCCTAATTCCAAAATTTAAAAACCTATTAAAACCAAGTTATTTTTATGACACCAAAATTTGTTTGGCAGCAAACTTGATCAGACCAGACTTTGGGCTATTGATATAGTCTTTATCCCGTTTAATATAAACATTCATATGTTTTGCTGAAGAAATGATACCATGTTGAACAAGTACAGGGTAGTGGTGGGGGGGATCTAGTACATGCTATCTGTGCTGTAATACCTTTCTAAAATGTAAAAATATCTAAAATTAGAGGCTTATTTGGATACAAAGGTTTTAGAAAAAGGATGGTTGACCTATATTATTTTACCCTCTCTTCATGAGAAAGAGTACACACAGCTCTCAAATAGGTTAATACATCCAGAATTTTTCCAAGATGGCAACTCAAGGTATCCCAAAGCATCAAATCACCTGTGATAATAAGTTAATCAAGAACAGAGTAGAATCTCTATGAAAGAAAAGATTAAGAAAAAAGTAAGCCATCATTGAAAGTTAATGAGACATTTTACATAAGTATCCAAAAAAAGGGTTAAAATTTAAGTTTTAGTACCTAAAATGGTTAGATTTGTATTTGTAGAAGTTTCAGATTCCAGGCTATCTCAATTCTCCATTGCTACATGGATCAAGAGGCTACTACACACCACCTTTGAGCTTATCATTTGTATTTCCACCTGTTCCACAAACCCTCTAGGCCTCTGTCCTCAGATGCAAAACTAAAGGTTGAAGTGGGTAGGTGATCTCTAGAGTCGCTTCCAGTTTTAGGATCCTCTGCTCATGCTCTGTACATTAACTCTTTAGAAAAGTTCTCTCTTCTCATTCATCACATTAGGAAATTATTTCTTACTGCCATTTCCCACTTCCCCCAATCCCCCGCAGTATTTGAGATGACATGATAAACTGGCATTAGACACTCCACTATTCCCGGCTTTTCTTGTATCAGCTTTAGGGTAACCATCTGAGCCCTGAAATTGAGCATAAGATCACAAGCCACGGCTGCCTGCTGTGTCTGCACCGTCTGTTACTGTCTATGCCCCAAAGGTGTGCTGGGGGAAGCACTGGAAGAGGCCACAGGACAGGGCAGCTGCTTTCCTGTCTTAGCTCTGACCTGGAGGGTGACTTTCTCACCCTGGGTGTTATTTTTATATTTAGTTTATTTTTGTTTCCAGAAAGTTATGCTAGCTCACATGATAAGAGCCAGATTTAAGGTGCTAACAACACAAATGGATATAAACCCTAAATATCATGAGACCAGTTAAATCTGCTTTGGAAAGTACCCATGACACACTGTCAGATTTGAGATCTGGCATTCTATCTGGGTTAAACTTTAAAAGGAAAGCAATTTCCTTCACTTTGAAACCTGTGGGCTCAGAAGCTATGATGAAGGGTTCCACATGCTTCAAGAATCCGCCACTGGAGAGACGAAGACTGACTGGGGCTAGGATCACAAGCTTTTCATCTTTTTTGTCTCTCTTGCTGAAGGATAGAGGTAGTAGTATCTAACTTTCCACAGATTTAGACCCTGCTACCTTTTGCTTCTAAAATATTTCCTGAATAGGACCTATCTGAGAGTGACACAGGATCACCAGCCGACAGGGTACACTGAAGACACAATTACCTTGTGCTATTCCATTACCAATGTTGCCTCATTTCATCTCCACAGCTATCATCCAAAAGGAAAGAAAAGAAAAAAGGTAAAGCGCCTATCCCAAGCTAGTAAGATGTGGAGCCAGACTGGAACCAGGGAGTCTGGAATAGGGCAGAAGGAGTGGAGCAGAGAAAGACTCTCTGCAGTCTAACCAGATGGCCAATTAACAGAGCAGTCAAGAAAGAAACCGCAGGTGAAAAGCTTGTCAGCACACTGTGGCTGAG